TGGGCTGATTGGTTTTTATGGGCAACATGATCTGAGTTTTATGCACATACTTAGGATTATGTCAAGGACAAAGAGGATGAATAATCCATTAACTATAATAAGCAAGAATCCATATCAGTGCAGCTAGAACATGTGTTATGTTTCACAAGCAAAAGATGAATTAGAGATATGTGGATCATAAAATACCCATAACCCACGACCCTCGCTGTACCAGGACATCATTTCTATACATACACACTCCACTAAACAGCATTTCTGAAAGTGATGTTTCATTCTTGATGAATCAGACTGTGTAGTGCTGAAACGGTATTTCCAGGCCTACCACATGCAAAGAAATAGCTCTGCTGAATTGGGCATTTCCTCTAAGGAACAGATGGTAGCAAAGTAACTGCCCCATGCATAGGTGTTTCAACCACATCTATATGGTCAATAAGACAACATTACTCTATTTTCTTCTTTTTTATAAGCCTCTAAAGTAAATCATTAAGGAACTGCTACTGTTTAAAGTCACAATCTAAAAATTTACATTTAAAAAATTGTCTAAAGTTAATCAACAATTAGATTCAGTTATTGCTTCCACTCTTTGATTACCAAACACTAAAATAACACTATCACAATTATAATATTTAGTATGATGTGTATCAGCCCTCCAAGACCACACTTGCCACAAAACACATAATCATTGGAGTCTGGTTCCCTGCTTGCAAAATTTCCTGTTATTACTCACCTCTTTCACCTTTTCACATATTTTGCAATAATTTGTCTTCCTTTGGCTAACCTTTCAGACCTAAGTATTTACTTTCTCTTCCACTATAATGTTTTATGATCCCCAAATGAATTATTATGATGGCATTTGATAATAGTATATTAACAACAGAAAATATCTGGATGATAAGTCTTTACTCATCTTGCAGAATGATCCTCTAAGGTATTATGACAGACTACTCTTCTAAACATTTTCAGCAACTTGTGGAGAATTATTTGACTCACCATGAGCAGTATACTTCACTGCTGTATTCTATTCATGAAAGGAAGGATCAAGGTTTTCAACTGGTGTAAGGCATCTGGATTCTGTTGATTTCAGTAGAACTGTGTTAATTTAAGCAAATGATGTGATCTATACATTTTTAGAATCAGTGAAATAGGTAGGGATTCTGAGAGCTGTATCCATTATAAGCTACTGGATATGCTGCTAAAGACTATGAGAATTGTCCAGCTGAGAGCTTTGACTGGCAACAGAAGGCTGTATTAAATCCCAATATTCAAACCTCAGTACTACACTTGCTTTGGCTGCCCAGGGACTTGACTTCTTTACTTGTTCCTGGAATACACACTAGGGGCAAAACAAGCTTAGAAGCAAATCACAGAAACCATGTTTCGTAAACTATGCTCCAGACCACTGCCCTTATAGCTCACTGGATTAAAGGGAGATCAGATTAGACCCTAGATCATTTACTGYATGGGGACCTGCTCAAGTTGCCTACCTTAATCTAAATCTCAAGTATGCTAGGCAACAGATGAAAAGCTACACAATAACTGCATAGCTCAGGTGCTTGGTAAACTTACTTTCCTATACTTCCAGACTAGTGACCAGCTTAGAAGCATAACCTAGTAATAAATAAAAAATAATACAGTGGAAAAAGCCCAAAATAGCATTATAAYAAGCTACAAAAATAATGTAGTATCTTCCTTTCCAATTTCTCCAGCCATGGACAGCATTCAGTGACWGTCATAGGTAGGCAAGGAAGGATCTAGAGAGTACATGCAATATTACATGTTTCTTTCCTCTCTCCTTTTTCCTCTCCTTTATTCCTCTTAGGAATAAAATAAAAATTCACATTCCTATAGTTCATCTTAAACACAAGTACAAAAGTCCTGGGCAGTGAAGAAGAAGTGAAAGGGAAATGGTATCAGAATGGTATCTTTTATTTAGACATTTCCTGCTGAGATCCCGGCCTCTAATCAATGGCATATTTTTGCCCCTGYAAGAACCATACTTCACTGTTTTGCTTACTTTAAACTTGAAGTCTCCTAACCTCAGATTTAAACAGCCAGCATATCGTTCCATTAAACCTATCATATGTTGGATTCCTTCTGTTTCACAAGAATATGGAATAATTTATGGCACAATATGACAGAAACACTGAGTGCTGTCTACATTTCTGTAGGTAAGTATGTTTACAGCACAGAATTTCCCATGTAAAYAATTAGCTGCTTAACACATACACAGAGTTTTTTCTAGACTAACAAGTCTTTGTGAATCCCCCAGTTCACAATACAAACTACATTACTAAATGAAAGAATAAGCATATACATAATATTCAGAGTAAATACCATATAAGAATAGGATATTTCTATTCTTAAATAGATGGAAAAATGAATTCCAAACACTCAGGTTTAGTCAGAGGTCTAGGCCACTTGGTGGAAGATGTCCCTATCAGCTCCCATCCTAAACACTGAATTTCAAAGACTCTTCAAAAGTACAGAAGGAAGTTATTTTTATACTACTAATACTTTCATTAAACCTCTTTTTATGAAAGTAAATTAAAATTACTTTCCAGAAGTGACAGTGGAAAAGTGTCAATTTTCAACCCAATAGGAATTTTAAAACAAAATATAAATTTAGTATTTATTCTCATCTAGAAAGTGTCTCTCCCTTCCCTAAATCTTGTTTATTACATGCATACATGCATGATTTAGCTGAGGTAGAAGGAYAGTGGGAGATGAAGAAAAATCCTCTCCAAAATAAAAACTTTGAAAGTATAAAAAGAGGAATGCAAAAGAATTATGTAAAGTGTTAAAGGGCAATAAAGATTTTATATATATCTTAACTGTTAGCACGAGTAATACACAAAATGGATTTGTTTTAGGTTACCAGCTTTTATCCAGATTATCCAGACTATCAGCATCTGGTTTAAGTCCCCAATGTAACCATCTGTAGTAATGTCACATGAAGGATTAGCCTTATCTGACATTTGTAATGAATATATGGATGGAGGAAGATGAAGAATTGTGGCATGCAGTACAATTGTTAAACCTTAAAATCAGGTGAAACTACACACATTTATTTGCTGATTTTAAACATGGGATTTTTTTACTTTTAAAACATTAGCATATGTATTGAAAAACAACATATCCTCATTAATTTTTTAAGAAAAGCAGGCAAACTGAGAAAATGTACTTTTATATTTGACCTTTTAAACATAATTAGAACATTAAATAAAAATAAAGCCTACTTCACCAYGTTCAGTTATGACAGATGGGTATGATCACAAAAACATCAAAGACAGGCTTATCCTAATCCTGTAAAGTGGTAAGTGCCTCCTGAAAGGTCCTGAGTGCCTTCTAATCCTACTGAGGATAGGCTGCAAGTGCATCAAGAGGAAATGGGAGCAAGTAACAGGGCTAATAGTGGGCTTTCCTGTCCACATGAGGAACAATGTGTATTAGAAAGATCTCAGATATTAGGTAATAACCTGATTTATCCAAACACAGAGATCAGAAAGTGGGAAGATGTGTGTTCATTTTCTGCTCTCTTGAGTAAGAATGGCACAGCCTTAGTTCCACATCATGCAGCCCTAATTCAGAAAATCAAGCTTCTCTTCTAGGCTTTGTTATTTGCACAAAATTGCACAGTGCCCCAGGTCAATAATATTTACCCCTTGGCACCAGTGTCTTCTTTCCACAAACGGGGAAACTGAAGTGACCTGAACAGATCATGAAGTTGTGCAAAATTGACAAGACATAAAAATATATGACCATGCATCAGAATGCATGATGAAAAAGCTGGGGTTTAAAGCAGAAAGAAAAAACTCAAATCCTACTAAATGTTTTGAGCATTTCTGCTTTGAGTGCAATCAAATATTTAGGATTGGGTAAAGGAGAATAAAGTATTCTATCAACTTAAGGCAGGTAGCATTCCCTTTGGAAGAACAGCTGAATCGGAATGACTRTTGATCTGGTCGAGTTCAACAAGAAGAGCCTTTTTATTCAAAAAATGGCCAGGTAAAGGTCTCAGTGACAATCAGGCTCCGTGTTTTGAGGCTAGGTCATATGAGAACACAGTAAAGAGTACTGCAGTGGAGTGTCGCAGCTAAACAAGGTATATTGTAACAATGCCAACCACTCCTCCCCAGTTTAAAACAAGCTTGCTAAGTCACACTGCAAAAGCACATTGTGCAAAGTCACAGATGATATCTTAAAGCAGCCTGAGAACTAAGCCTCAGCCAGTCTTCACASTGAAACTCTAGAATGTTCCTACTGGTCATACAAGACATGGCTATCTATCCTTTGGTGAAATGGCCACAATTAATAGCTGATATTAAAAAAAAGGCTTCTTCATATGTGTGTTGTTAGATGTCACATGTCCAAGAAGTAGCTCAAGGTCGGGTTTTTTTTCAGATATCCAGATACCTGTTACCAGGCAGAGTGTCACTAATGCCTACATTTTATAAGTTTGCATGAGACATTTTTATAGCACATGCTGTATTGGCACCATTGCCCAATACTCGGAGCAATAGTGCATGCAATTACTTTGTTGTTGTTGTTGTTGAGGGCCAAGCTCTAACAAATTAAATTTAGAGAAGGGAAATAGGCTTATATGCAAATGGAATTAAATGCTGACACTAGGATAAAACAGCTCTGGATTAAGACAGGGCTCTCCCCCCGACTTTTTTACCAATCATTAGATTTAAATTGAACAGACAGATTCATCTTTGATTTAACTCCACTATAATCAATGGAACTGCAGCAGGGATGAACTCGGAGCAATATGTTTTTGACAGTTTTTATGCAATGGCTATCCAGAATGAAGTAGATGAAACAGATTAGATTTTTTGTTTATAATTTATTAAATTATTTCACCATCCCCAAATCCCTACATCAAGGAAATTAGATGGTGCATAAAAATGGATAAAGTAGGCAGTTGCATGCCAAATACCAACTGCCGACCACAGGCTCTGTACCCAAACATGCAAAGCCAAAATATTTATCTGACTTACCTGTGATCCAGAAAAAGCTCCCTAATGGTGTAAGTACAGCTGGATCATTGCACGGTTTCTCTTCAATGTCACTTGAACTGCATAAAAAGAATTAAGTACATTTACTGTCTCTCTAATTTTAGTATCACACATAAATAGTTGCTGAACTTAGAAAATTATGTTCTTTGGTGATCTGTAGAAGTCCTAGGAGCAATAATGACTATTACTCATTGCATTATACTAGAAAATACATTTCAGTAAACTTTTAGAACCCCTGCATTTTGTGCGTTTATTACATGACTGCTCCTAGGCATTGCTTCCTCCCTTCKCTGTCTCCACTGGACATCTTGTGGAAAGAATAAATTGTTTATCAAAATATTTTACAAATTAATGTAGGACCAAAGGACTCTGATAACATGCACTGTATATGGAGCTAATGAGGAACTAGGGATTATTGCTCGTACTGATCTGACAGACCCTGATTTTTTTTGGCACCTTGTTTTTTGGCATCAACTCCTCTTCATTTTTCTCTCTTTCTAGCTTTTCATTGCTTCTTTTCAGCTGACAGCTCATTGCTTATTCATTTATTCATGGGTCTCATTTTTTTGGTTTTGAGGATTCTTTATTCAATGGTAAGTTCAGAGGTACAACAGTTTGTTATTCCACACAGTCACTTCTCTGTGCTAAAGCCATCAAATGATACAGAGAACTTCTGTAAGGGTGTGTAGCTTTACCCTTCTTGTGTCACAGTTTCCACTTTTACATTTTTTTTCCCATAAAAAGTTCTAGCTTCTTTTTCACKGTATATGTACATATAATGGTAACTGCTAATGGTGAACCACCTATATATGAAGGAAGCATAACAGACTTCTTACTGGCTCCTATAGCATGGTCACCTGCCAGAGTTTTTCAGATGATCTTCTTGAAATACTGGAATAGGACAGTGCTTTTTACTTTGAGGTCCACAATATGTCATTAAGATAAGTGTATTGTAAAAAAAGTAAGTCCAGGCATCAAATATTCATTAACTGCKAAGAGTAGAGACATCATCAGCTGGCTAATGAGCCTTGGGACCATAGGTATTCTAAGCAAACACAGGAGAGCAGACAAATTTCAAAAAGCAAAAATAATTTCAAAGCAAACTAACTTCAGATCAAATAGGCCTAGTGAAACGTATTTCCTTTGTATATCTTGGCTAAAATCAGAAGAGTGACAGAGGGATGTGAATGCAAACATTCCCAGACTAGCTTTATTCTCACTGGCCTTTATTCTCACTGASCCTCACTCAACTGTTCCATTGAGACTTTAGTTGTCCCAAAAAGTATCCATGATGCATGGCAGATTTTAGCATCCTGTGCTGTAGCCCATGTTCCCTGTCAAAGTTCCTTGATAGTTCCTTTCAGCTATGCCCACCAATCCTTCACTCCCACCACTTGTGCACAGTGTGCAATGGTAATTTTGTACAGGCAGCACCTGGATCTCAATGGGATCTCTTAAGCACTACTTTATAACACAATAAACTAGGTGCTGCTAAAATACATGCAACTTTTCTGCACTGATGGTTTGTTGATGAACTAGCCCTGCTTKTCTCCCAGTTTGCTTCTAAGAAACATTTCCTGCAGTTGTGAGTGATTCATGCCCACCCTCCTGGAGCACAGATCCCTGCACTCGGGGCAGTGAGCAGTCCCAGTCAGGGTGTGCCCTCTGCACCAGGCCCTGCAGACAGACATGCCCCAAAATGTGCCAGATGCATCACCCCAAAATGTGCCAGATGCATCACCTCCTCCTGCAAGCCCTGCAACAGCCACTGCACAGGTGCTTGCTTAATGCCAACAGTATGATGCATATTTCCTGCACTGAGGGAAACTGCATCTTTCAGGAATTGCATCAGGCTCTGGCAAAAAAATAAAASAGCCAGGGAGGACATATTTCAATATGAGTGAGCTAATTATAATTTTGGCTCCTAAAGCTTTCTAACAGCCAGCATATAAAGTCCAGCTGGCATGTCCTTCCGCCTGCCTGAAGGAAACAATCCCAATTTATAGCATAATCAAAAATCATGTTTCTATATTTTTGAGGGTTTTTTAAGTTACTGCCAATACATCAGCCTATGGAAAAGCCTCAGATTGCTTTCCAAGTGATGGAATGCCAGGAAGAAGTTTCAATGTATACACATTTTACTGCCTCTACGCTGGTTTAAAAMGCACACAAGATTGCCAGGCTGGAAGTAAGGGGAAAAGAATTATCAGTTAAGTAAGGAATTTGTGAATCACATAGCCTTGTGCAAGTAAGGGGCCATTGTAATTTTTGAGATTGTTGTAAATCCATTGGTGAATTTGAGACAATTCAAAAACCAGTTATAGGAGAAGGAGGAGGGGATTGAGCAATCTGCTGAAATGAAATACAGCCCACAAAAACAAAATCTTGCAAGAACCCAGCACTGAAGTATGCTGTGAGAATAAAAAGCATATGAGCACAGGTACAGCTGTTAAAGACCAATGTTATTTGGTACAAAGGCAGAGTGTTGCCAGCTCAGAACACAGGTTTGCTAAGTATTTCAGGCTCTTAACTTCTTTCAGTCAATTATACTCTGAAAACTTTGAAACTACCACAGATGTACAGGGAATCAGCTGTATGGATTTTCACTCACTATACCTGTAGTAATAAGTCAATCAATATCTCTCAAAAAAATACTATAGCACTACTTGCCCTGAAATAGCATTTTGAGTATGCACCTGCAAAGGTAATTTTTCTACATCTCAGAACTAAAACACTGCACCACAAATAGCAGTTTGCAATGATCAAAACAGCATTTATATGTCTATTTTTAAGTGATTTTTTTTAGCAATATAATTACAATTTTGATTACTTATGCATTAATGTAAACTAAATGAAACATATTCTAGGTTGTATTGAAAAAAATGTAASTGACCAAATCTACAAGCTTCATTAAAATGCACAAATCTTAAATAATAACATATACCTCAACATGACTCTTTTTRTATGTGAGAAGTTAATGTAGTAACCCTAAATGAATTAAAGCCCAGGCATGTGATCTTGATGAGTAATCTTGAAAACCAAGGATAGGGAACCACATTTACTCTCTAACTGATAGTCACCTTGTGGGAACTGTAGTACATGTAATTTAAAATTTAACATTTACTCARGTTCTGAAACTGGAAGCTGAATGGAGTACACCTCCTGCATTCTATGGAGGTTATGATATGAACACAATTTTCTATGCCACACCCATCCACTCCACATTTGTATGCTCAGCTATTCAAAATCCTTCAGTCTAAGTCAAGGCTTGCCCAAGCCTTCCTATCTAACAGCAAAATCTAGATGGAGGACTTTAGGAAGAAACAGCCAGTTTCATCAGTGACAATTGTGAAGCACCTATCAGTCTCCTAGAACTAATAGCTAGTTCTAGGAACTAGCTAGTTTACTAGCAACTACATCCAGAACCCTGATTTTCTCTCAGGACCCCCAGGGASTTTCCTGCCTTATCATTAAATACAAAATTCCAGATATTTACACCTTGACTGTCTGGGTATCTTGACTGCATGTCCTTCAGAGGTAACATTAAGTTATATGAGCTCCTGAGGAGAGGATGCTTATCTCCAGGTCTGGAGCTGCAGGGATTGCCACCGTCCATTTCTTGGGGCTGGGSCAGGTGAGGCAATGTCCTTGCTTGCAGCAGTGAGCTCGCACTATGTCTGGTGAAGACAGCACACATCTCACTGGACTGCASTAACAGGATAATCCACAGATTGAGCAAAGGGAAAAGGAACTCATCGCTTATTAGACCTTAGAAACCACTATATGCATTTCTTGACTTACAATTAGCTGTGTGCTAGAAAAACATTTAGGTGATATACTTGATGTATATTTTCACATCTCTCTTTTTATTTTGATACTTTTAGAAATAGGATATTGGGCTAGCCAAACCATTAATATGATTCAATATGGAAGTTTTTATAAAGAATATTTTCAACTATTTCAGTAACATGTTAAATTTACTATCTCAAATATCCACAAAGCATAATTGAAAAGAATCCAAATAATTTAAAAGGGGTTTGGATTAGCTCCTGTTTTCCATAAAGAAAGTATGAGGTTCAGGAGACTGGAAGACAAGATGAGCCACAAGAGAATCAATCTGCAGCCATGGTCCACAAAAGTTTGAGAACTACCAAATCACTAAGTACTCAAAATTGTGTGCAAAATATGAATAAAATATTGATTTCATTAAAAATGTTAAGGACTACTTAATTCAACAACATTTTATATGTTTGCATATTTATTTCCAAATTTGCATATCTGTTTGCATATATCTTGTAAAGCTGAACGTTAATTATACTTTAAAATCATGTATAAATTGTAACCAAGAATGTTGTATGAATTTTTGAAATAAGAGACACGCTCAAGTACCATTAATTATAAACTGCCATTTAAAGCACACTGAAGCAGACCTCATATTGAAAAAATATTGAGCCCTTGACAAATAAAAAAGGCAGCAAGAGTTATTAACTGGTGTAGTTGATTAAATGGTTTCTCCTACGAGCATAGCACAGATTTTTTTTCTCTTTCTCCCTCCAGACCATGGCTTACTTTTACTTAGGAGTGTCACATGACAATTTCCTGGCCAAGGTAAAACTGCAAAAAAACTGKTTTATAGTTTATGGTTAGGGCATTATTTTTGAATTTTGATTCATATAAAAGCGACAGCAATATATAACAACAGACAAAACTTCATGGGTTATTTTAATGGGCTAATGTCAAATTAGGCGAGTTGAAGTGATTTTCTCACACGCTAATTAGATATGAGAAATGCTTCTGAGTAACTTAAAAAGCAAGGTCAGATCTCAATGAGCTTCCAAAAACCTAGACTTGCTAAATATACAAGACATGATGATCTGATCTATTACTTAAAGCGGCAACTTTAGACAGTCAAATTTCTAATAGCTTTAGATATAAATCCAAGGTCAGGTATCCCAGTAATCATTAAGAGCCAGGAATTTCCCAAAAAACTGCTTCTTAAGAATATTGCAGAAGTATTATTTGGTCTTGTTAATTTTGAGAAGATGTGTAGAAGATCCACTTATACTCAAAGAAAATAATTKAAACATAGAGCTTGCATAGAGAAGGCTACACAAGTTTATTAGTGCAAATCTGTGTTGCTGCCCTTAAAAGTTACCTATCAGCAGAAAGGTAWATGTCCACACCTCTCTCTAGTCACTCCAAAACTGATATCTTAATTTATATAAACAATGAAGCTGAATTTGCATTAATCCATCAGGCTGAAAAGTATATCAGCAGAGATGCAAACTCACCTATCTTGTGCTG